TCAACAGCCCTTGGCTTGAGGTCTTCTCTCCTGGGGCTGGGTGTGGTTGGACAGGACCAAGATGCACACCAAAGTCTGCATTTCCAAGGCCGGGGTCCAGAAGCAGATTAGGCAAAGACTCAAATCACTCTGAGATCTGCCTCTGCTTGCAGGCTGATTAATCTGATTCTCTTAATGAGCCTCAGGCTGTAGAAACTCCTTGGGGTAGGGCAAGAGGTTTTCCAGCAGGGTGGGGCAATTGCTTCCCCCTCCAGCAAAAGCTGCTTGGAAGGTAAATGTCTGCCTCTGTAGTTTGGGGGAGTGACTCACATGCCTATATTATTTAGTCTTCCCTTTATTCCTTTCCTGTTAAATAATAACCAGATTATTGCAATGGTAGCACTTTGATGCACAGAAGCACAATCTATTTTTTTCACTTGTCTTATGTGCTTTTGGTGTTATAACCAAGAAATCATTGTCAAATCCAATGTCATGAAACTTTTCCCCTGTTCCTTCTTCAGAGTTTTATAGTTTAAGCTCTGACATTTAGATTTTTGATCCATTTCAAGTTAACTTTTGTATATGGTATAAGGTAAGGGTACATCTTTATTCTTTTGTATGTGGATACTCGGCTTTCCAAGCTGTATTTGTTGAAAAGACTTTCTCTTTCCCCAATGAATGGTCATTACACCACTGAGGAAAATCATTTGACCATGTATATGAGAAGGTTTATTTCTGGGCTGTTTGCTGACTTGCTCTTGACATCTGTTTTGATTTGTCCCTGAGTCTGCCATCATCGATTTCTCCAGAGAACACATCTCCTGTCTTTTACAGGGGTCCTCAGGGTAGTTGCAGGCTGTTCAGGGTAAAAGAAGGATCTCAGGGAATCTTAACTGATTGTTGTAAAGACTTTCAACCTATCTTGTTTTCATGTATCCTGCAGTGCCTTTGATTCCAAAGGCACCAAAGTCTAATTCCTAAGCCTTTCTGGGGCTTCTTTCAAGATTTCTGACCTGCTTCTTGGGTTTCTTATCTCCTGTAGGCTTCAGCTTTTTCTCTTTCCAGATTATTAAATCAGTTAAGATTACCAGTTTCCAAACTACTGACTTTCGTCTGCTATTATCCATGGATTCTTTTTGTTCTTCTGAGTTTACGCCTTTTTTCCCCTTCATTAGAGAGCAGATTCAGGACAGAGCAGAGGTAAACACTCTCCATGTGTTCAGGCTTCCATGTTTAAAAACTCTTGTATTATTTAAAATCTGTGACTATTGATTTAAAATATCTGTGTGGTCTTCATAACATCTCATTTGTGTGTGTGCGTGCGTGCGCAAGCCTTTTTTGGAAGTTAACATTTTAAATATCTAGTAATTTAAAGGGATGCCTGTTTTGTCTTTAAAAATATGGGGTTTTTGTCGATTTTTAGANTGTGCGTGCGTGCGCGCGCAAGCCTTTTTTGGAAGTTAACATTTTAAATATCTAGTAATTTAAAGGGATGCCTGTTTTGTCTTTAAAAATATGGGGTTTTTGTCGATTTTTAGAGAGAGAAGGGGGAGAGATAGAGATAGAAACATTAATGAGAGAGAAAGATCATTGATGTGTTGCCTTCTGCACTCCCCCTACTGGGGATGTAGCCCGCAACCCCAACATGTGCCCTAACGGAATTGAACCAGTGACCTCTTGGTTCCTGGGTGGATGCTCAACCACTGAGCAACACTGGTCAGGTGCGTGATATGTCTTTTACCTAATGTTTTGGTGGAGAGGGGTCGAATACTGCTATCTGGTCAGCTAACATTTTTCTCCTGGTGGATTGTTTCCTTAAATGTTATTTTAGGTAGTGCACCAAGTATTCCCCAAATAATGACTTAGGGGATCCTGTGCTGTTGGTTTGGGGCCATGTCTCCACAGTGATTCTGCCGGTTCTGTAAACTGAGTTACTCAACCCAGGTGAAGGCCTGCCTCTTTTTGCAGATCTTCATGTTGTGATATACTTTGTTTAGTTTTTTGACCTAGAGTCCAGACCAAAACAGGCAAACTTTGCATTAGGCAGATTCCCTCCTTCCCGTCTCTTTATTGAGGGGATAGGGAGGCGCAGTGTGTGCTGCTCTTCTGCCAGATTTATCCAGGAGTCATCATTAAAACTGAAACCTTTGTATTCTCTTTAAGCACCCCACTCTAACCCCCAGTGCATCCCCATTTTCAAATTTTATTTTTGTTCTTAATCTTAATTTCTTTACTTGAGGCCCATGAGGATTTTCCTTATTTTTATGTGCTTAGTTGTGCCTTTAAAGGAATACATTTTTAAACATACTTATAATGCTTATGTCCCAGGTATTCTAAGCATTTACAAATATTAAGTGATTTAATTCTCTTAACAACCTTATAATCCCATACTGTTTTTGTTTTGTTTTTTAATATATCTTTATTGATTTCAGAGAGAGGAAAGGAGAGGGAGAGAGAGATAGAAACATCAGTGATGAGTCATTGATTGGCTGCCTCCTGCACGCCCCCTACTGGGGATCAAGCCCGCAACCCAGGCATGTGCCCTGACCGGGAATCAAACCCCAATCACCTGGATCCTAGGTCGATGCTCAGCCGCTGAGCCGAGCCCCGCCCCGTCAGGCTGTTATCANGCCGCTGAGCCAAGCCCCGCCCCGTCAGGCTGTTATCATTTTTATAGATGACAAAGTTTGAGGCACAGAGGTTAAGCTTACTGCCCAGGATCACACACCTAATACATTCCACATCACAATCTGCTTGTGTGTGTGTGTGTGTGAGAGACACTCATGCTTTGGCTGTTCAGAGTGATTTGCTTTCCAGTTAATGACATGTTCTAGGGATTAGTATCAAGAATAGTTGAAAATAATTGCTTCTGTTTGAATACTGGAAAAACCACTTATTTAGCATTCATTGTTTCTCACTGATACCGTCTTTGCTTTGCTCTCCTGGGACTCTTACTCAGGAACTGTTTGTACCGTGTCAGTTTGGAGCCTGTGTATATGATGAAGTCATTAAATGAAATTTGGCATTCCTACCACCACACTCTGCCATACATCTGAAATCAGAGATTGCAACATGGACCCAAATACCACTTTGCTAATAACTCCAGATTTCACACCTGACAGAAATGCATAAAATAGAGACAGAAATCCTAAGGATTTTTGGTGGTTGATTAATCATTTTCTCCTTTGGAAGCTAGAGATTTTATTATCCCAATGCCATGCTCCACAGTAAGATTTAGAAAGGTTGAGCAATATGCCATGAAAAAAAAATTGTAGAATGACGATTGTGCAAGGGGAGGGACTGTGCTGGCACATTCTCAGCCAGATTAATTAGAGAAGAGGCTTCTTGTGCAAGTTGAAAATCTGGTCATTGATTTTCATTGAGGACTCTTTGTGATGTATGCTTTAGAAAGCCTGAGTTGCTTATATTCCATATTACATGAATGTATGCCCCAGAAAGTCCAAATTACACATACTCCAGTTGGAATACCATTTCTCAGATGTGTGCTTCAATCTGATGGTGAAGGAGTTCTTGGGGATTGTCCAAAATCTATTGCAGACAGAGAAAAACAGATCTCTCTCTCTGACACCTTGTGGCCACAGCTAAGCACTACAAATACGGCTGACAATTTATAGTCTAATCAAAGCAAACACATGAGTGCCTCTTTTTTTCCTTAAATATGAGAGAATCTGTTCAAAATGAACGCATAAAGCCCTCATTGCATGAAATTTGTCTGCATGTTGAAATATTCAAGTCTACGCCTTTTAAAACTATTTGTACGTTTTTATACATTTGATACTTACATTACTCAGGAATTTCTAGATTCCCTATACCATGAGGTTGATTGGCATATTCTTCCGTACTGTATTAATGTGAATTAAATCAAATATAAAATCCTTGGGAATCAAGAAGCTTTTGTTGCATTTGAACTATTTGACATTGTTTAAAAGGTTTATAGATGTATAATACTACTCTACTGCCGTAAGTTCAACTATGATGATTTTTCAAGAGACTACCAGAAAAGCTTCTTGATTAATAAGCAAAGCTAAGTTTATTAACCGTAATGCACTAAGTAGAGAACACCCCGTGACACAGCCTTAGTTGTGTTTCACAGTAGGGAGATTAGGAGATGATGTTTATAGGATTTTAGGGCCTTGGCTGGGTAATTTTGAGGTAAGTCTTGCAAGGTTGGTAACTTTGGTACTGGGTAATTTATGATGTCATGGTTTTGGATTGGTGGATATAAGGAGACAAGGGTTTTAAAGAAAGTCTTGATAAGTAAACTATTTAGTTGATTTAATAGCCTTATCTTCCAGGAATCTTATCTTCTATGTAATATTTTCCCTGTATACCCTGAAAGAAGCAGCTAAGTTAGTTTTATTTGGTCTCAGTGTTGTTTAACACAAGGACAGAAAATTATATTGGTTTTGTTAAACAAAAAACTCTCATGGCTGAAAGATTTTCTGAAAGAAAGTTTAATGAACCAAATAGTATCCAGAAAAGGACCAGGCCCTGGAGCATGAAGTCTAAACCAGCAGCAGCAGGGCTAGGTGGAGAAGACAAACATGTCCACAGTTCTGGAGTTGATGGGCACTTTTATACGTTATGTTTTGGGAAAAACAGATGCAAGTAGTTTAGAAAGAATTTACATTGGCTATAGATAAAAGTGAGAGGGGGTGGGAAAAGGAGAAGCAGGGGCAATCCTGGGATGGGTGCACAGTCTGTAAGAAAGAGATGTTTGCCACTTTTGATTTGTTGTGGGAAGCCATTCTGAAAGTTCATGCATTAGCAGGATGCTGTAGAGTCTGGTGGTCACTACAAAAGTTGATTGAAAGCTCCTATGTGCAGCCAGGAATGCGAGCAGCCTATTGTTTGTTAGTCCACAGGTTTTGACTGGTTACTTTCTTTCACTCTCTTGCCCACTGTATTTTAATTTAGAACCTTAGAATTTTTCTCCTCTCAGTTTCTGTTTCTAAAAGTAAGACCTGAATTAATTTACATGCATCATTGGTTTGTTTCAGCTTTGCCCGAAGTTTTTACATACAAATTCTACTAGTCACACTTGGCCATTCAGTGCAGTTGCTGAATTAATAGGTATGTAAAATTGACATTTTATATGTAACCTATTGCTTGCAATTGAAATTTTAAAAAAACTTTTCATTGGAAAATTTTATGTAAATGTGCTTTTAAAAAATATCAAATGTATGTTGATTTGTTTCCCAAATAACATTATGGGTAAAGGTTAACTAGCATAACAGCTATTCATATGGATGTCAAATTAATCACTGTTCAGCCTTTCCTATGCTACTGTTAAAGTACAAAGTATTTTAACCCTCTAAATTCATAAAGCATTTATGTTGAAAATATATTCTGATTATAAAAGTAGTAAGTCTACTGCAAAAAATGAGAATTATGTTTTTTTATAGTTGGGAAGTATATAAAACATAGAAGGGACTTGTTTTTCTGGTGTTAGTAAGTAGGAGGATTAATGTTATGTTAGATTTGTGGTAATAAATTCTTGTTTCCTCCAATAGATAGAATGATCAAGACATAGAATTGTATTTTTAAAAAATATATCTTTATTGATTTCAGAGAGAGGAAGGGAGAGGGAGAGGGAGAGAAACATCAATGATGAGAGAGCCATTGATTGGCTGCCTTCTGCACACCCTCTACTAAGGATCGAGCTGGCAACCCCCCAGCATGTGTGCTGACCAGGAATTGAACCAAAATCTGGATCGTAGGTTGATGCTTAACTGCTGAGCCATGCCGGCCAGACTAGGGTTGTATTTTAATTTTTTAATGAACAAAAGAGGCTAGGTTGTGATCAGATTTACATCATGGGTCATGATTTTTTCCTTGGGAAGATTCATGGACATGAATTTTCTTTTAATTTAAGCCCATGTTTGAGAAACATAATAAAGGAAAGTTGTATTCTTAGATATACATTCCATTCTTTATCAAGGATGAGTCTGTCTTAGAAAAGAAGTAACTTTTGAATACCCTTCTTTTCTTTTCTTTTCTTTTCTTTTCTTTTCTTTTCTTTTCTTTTCTTTTCTTTTCTTTTCTTTTCTTTTCTTTTCTTTTCTATAGTTAGATTTTCCATAGTTGCCCGTGTAACATGCTGCTCAGGTGTATTTTTAAAACCCATGAGTGGATATGCTATAGTTGCAGCTATTTGCTGTCATTTGTTTTTTATGGCAATCCAGAGAATCTACCCAACCTGGACTTGTTCTTTCACAGAGAGTGATTCTCTAGCTTTTGGTTAGAGCAACTGAAAGTTACGGTGCTCTGGGTGGTGTATGAGATTTTCAGTTTTTAATGAAACACTGTCTTTCTTGAAGCAGTTGATTTAAAAAAGATTATTTGATTTTAATTGTAGGCTGCCTAATGCAAGGATAGTTTGAGAACCATTATTTATATTATAATAAACACTTTACACCTCAAAAAGTACTTTTGGTAAGTTAGGGATATTTGAATGGGTGACAGGTTGATTGCATTACTGCTGCTGTTCTTTGATATACTCCTCCGTACTTACCTATCTGAGAGAAAAAAGGTTGCTAAACAAGGGTATTAAATGGGAGGTGTACAGAGATTGTAGAAGTATAAAAGCCACCAGAAACTTTGGTTAGGTTGTATTAAAAAACAAAATTCAGCTGGGTAAACTTGGAGATCTAATTGTTCTGAAGCCATTCATAAATGGGCAGCATCCTGTCTATCAACTAGAAAGGCCCTTGGGGGGTTGTTGGACAAAATGGAAGGATTTTATAGGATGCATCGTGGGTGAGCTCTTAGTGAAAGAAAAAGGGTTATTTTGGGAACATCTTTGGAGGGGGTGTTATTATTCTGTACTTTGCCTTGCCTGGTCTTTCTGTGTGGGGGATGGAGAGGGCCTATATGACAGATTACCTTACTGGTGCTTGACCAGAAAATTCCAGACTGGGAGAGGCTAAAGCTGCAGTTAGATCAGGTATTAAAATCTAGATTTGGTATCATGGGTCTTGAGCATGAGGGACACCATTTTGGGCCTGTGGTTGGTTTGTGTGTGTTTTTTAAATATATCTTTATTGATTTCAGAGAGAGAAAGGGAGAGGGAGAGAGAGAGAGATAGAAACATCAATGATGAGAGAGTCATTGATCGGCTGCAGCCTGCAACCTAGGCATGTGCCCTGACCAGGAATTGAACCCCAGTCTCCTGGATCCTAGGTTGATGCTCAACCACTGAGCCACGCCTGGCTGGGCTGTGGTTTTCTTTTTAACAATTGAAAAGGGCCACAATTTGAAGAACTCTGTAGAAGGTAAACCTTCATCTATGTATTCAGCTTAGCGGAAAATGATGCTGCTTTCTCATTTATTCAGCACCCACATTGTGTCCCTTCTGCATCAACTTGAGTACTAGCTGACACTCAGCTCTTAGCTTCCCTGTGATAGATAGCCAGGCTGGTTCTTTGGGTTGAAACCTTCTTATCTTGGTTATCTCTGTAGTACAGTGATTCTTCCTGTTTTTACACTTTTTCAGTGTAGTGATTACCAGTATTTGCTCTGTGTATAATGAATGGAGGGCTTTGGAAAGAGTTAATTCTGTAATAGTCAGTGAGTGCTATACAGCAGGGTACAATTTTTTAGTTTCATGTTTTCAAATCTTAGGAGTTCGTAACATTTCAGTTTTTTAAATGTCCTTAAAATATGTTAATTCTGTTTATTCTGTTGCTTGTTAAAGGATTGTACTGAACTAATTGTGTTTTTATTTTTTTTAAAAAATATATCTTCATTGATTTCGGAGAGAGGAAGGAAGAGGGGGAGAGAAGATAGAAACATCAATGGTGAGAGAGTTATCATTGACCAGCTGCCTCCTGCACGCCCCCAGCTGGGGATCGAGCCCTCAACCTGGACATGTGCCCTGACCGGAAGTCAAACTGTGTTCTCCTAGATCCTTGGTTGATACTCAACTGCTGAGCCATGCCCGCTGATCTAATTGTGTTTTTAAAAAATGCAGACACAGCCCAGCCGGGCGTGGCTCAGCGGTTGAGCCTCAACCTAGGATCCAGGCGATCGGGGTTTGATTCCTGGTCAGGGCACATGCCTGGGTTGCGGGCTGCAGCCAATCAATGATTCTCTCATCATTGATGTTTCTATCTCTGTCTCCCTCTCCCTTCCTCTCTCTGAAACCAATAAAGATATATTTAATTAAAAAAAAATGCAAACACAAAATTTCTCAAAACTTTTTGTTTCTCAGATAATGCTTACGATCCTGATGTGAATGCTAAACAGATATGGATTGACAAAACAGTGATAAATGACCACATATGCTTGACATTCACTGATAATGGGAATGGTATGTCTTCAAATAAGTTACATAAAATGCTAAGGTATGTAAAAGTGTCGCATTTCTTAAAATACTTTGTCTTTACCTAGTTCAAGGGTTTCATGTGTCATATTTATTGCCCATAGTTTCTGTTTTTTAACCATGAAATGCTGTACCTACAGTGTGCTCTGTTATCTTAAGTTTTCCTTCATTTTCTGCTGTTAGGTTATTAGGCAACCCCTACCATTCTTCTCATCACTCCCCTACCCCCATGTCTGACTTAATCTAAAATTACACCATTTCTTTATAGGGTGGTAGTATATTGATATCAGTTATTTATACTTTAGTGTAAATTGGTTTTAACCAGTATTTCCAATACAACTTATCACTTTGGGTTGCGGAGTTGGGGGTAATTTTAAAGGGATTCTTCAGATGAGGAAGCAGCATAAAATAGTCATAAGGCCTTGGGCTCTAGGCTCACAATATAGGATGTCAGTATGAAGCCAAGTGTGCCTGATGTGGAAACTAAAATCCTTTCGCACAGGTATAAGCTAGAGGGAGCATTTGGTAGTAGAGGCCTTCTACTGTTCCTCAAATACTTTTTATGCTGCCAAAAAGTTAAGGTGACCCCATCGGTAAGCATGCTACCATAGGCTTGCTGAGAAAAGAAAATCATTCACACTTAAAGGAAGAGATTTCAGGGAGTACAATATCAGGGCCCAGGGACCCAAATTATAACTTAGCCATTTAGCCAGTATGTGCCAGGCCATGAGCTAGTGTTTTAGTGTGTGTAATTCTTAAAGACCTCTGTGATGTAGACTTGGTTTCCTTCATCTCAGAGATGGGAAAGCATACCAAGGCAGATTAAAAGTTATTTGCCCAAGATTATAGATTTAGAAAGGGTGAGGCCAGCATATAAATCCAGGCTCTTTATGTATTATTGTTTTTGAATTAGAAACATGAAGATTATATGTATTTGTTTTTAAAATCTTTTTTTTTCTTTTTAGCTTTGGCTTCAGTGACAAAGTTACCGTGAATGGTCATGTTCCAGTTGGATTGTATGGGAATGGTTTCAAGTCAGGTTCTATGCGTTTGGGTCAAGATGCAATTGTTTTTACCAAAAATGGAGAAAGCATGAGCGTCGGCCTCCTGTCTCAGACCTACTTGAAAGCCATAAAAGCAGAACATGTTGTTGTCCCAATAGTGGCCTTCAACAGACACCATATCCTTTTGATTTGGAAATGGAAACTATGTAGAAGAGCTGAAGAAATAATGTGTACCACTCTATTCTTTTGCCTTCCTCCAGATTCTTGTTTTTTAATCACACCTTCCATTCTAGCTCCGGTTCCTGTCACTGCCTCTACCCTACATCTGTAGCTAAGCGTTTGTCCCTCTTTTCTCTATGGGAATTGTGCCATGGAAATCCTTACTGTCAGGCAGTTGCATTTCAGGTTGAGCTTCCTTTAGCTTTCCTCTTTATTTCAGTCTTACTGTGCTCTAATGAGACTGGTGGTCTGGTTTGAAAATTTCACTTATTACCATGACAAGTAGGGTATCTAGGAAAATATCCTCTGTATAAACACATTTCAAATGTTGGAAACCGTTAAATTAGGGGTAATAACTTGCTCGTACTTCATCCTAGGTGTTCATTTGAAATCAAACTGTCATTTTAAAACTTAGGAAATAGTTTTTGTTGTTTAAGTTTGAGTTGGTCTTAATATTGCAATTGTGGAAAATACATTGTTGGTCTAAGTCTTTAACTTAGGATATACGACAGATGATTAATTTGGAGGAGTCAGAAGCAAGCCTTGCTGCCATTCTGAAACACTCTCTGTTTTCTACGGAACAGAGTTTACTAGCAGAACTGGATGCTATTATGGGTAAGAAGGGGACGCGGATCATCATTTGGAACCTTCGAAGGTAAATGTAGACCACAGCTAGTTGCTGAACAATGGGGAAGTACACGTGCAGGGATGGCTGTATTACGTTCATCCATTGATTGTTACACAAAGTAGAAATGCACTGGAAGGGGCTAATCTAATGGCAGTCTTTTCTAAGGGTATTTTATGAGGCCATTTTGGGTTCAATTTGGAATAGTTTCAGATTATTAAAAATAAATTTCCTAGCCTTGAGGTTTAGTCTCCATAGCACTCTATTCTCAGTCTTTGTTATTCCACCCCTCTCCTCAAAACAAACACAAATGAGAAGATAAAAAAAAAAAAACAGCCAAGTTCCAACTTGTGTTAAGTTGAAAGAGACATCTTTGTTAATTTAGTTCATTACTTAAAGCTAAGCATGATTTCACATCTGGTGAGGAAAGTAAAATTGATGAGACTTCTGTGTTGCTGAAGTTTGTAGTTCTTTGTCCTTGTGATGAAAATAAGATCCCTTGCAAATAAAAGTTTTAAAATTTAGAATGAATGTGTAATATTGAGAGATCTAAGACATATTGAACCATAGGAAGAAAGCACAAATAGTGGTAAACCAAAAATACTTTAAATCTTGTTCTTTTCTGACCTGTATTCTCTTTTTCTTCTTTCTTGCTTTTGCTTCCCTGTCCCTCCCCCAGTTTTTTTAAAACTTTTTATTTTAAGATGATTATAGATTCATGTGCAATTGTAAGAATAACAGAGAGATCTCATGTACCTTTTACCTAGTTTCCCCCCGTGGTGACATCTTGCAAAGCTGTAGAACAGTAGTACAGTTGATATTGACATTGATGTAGTCAAGATATAGGACATTTTTATTACCACAAGGATTCCTTAAGTTGCCCTTTTATGTCCACACCCATTCTCTCCTTAATCCTGGGCAGCCTCTAACATGCTCTCCATTTCTATAACTTTGTCATTTCAAGAATGTTACATAAAAGGAATCACAGTGGGAAACCATTGGCTTCTTTCATTCAACATAAATCTCAGGATTCATGCAGGTTCTCGAGTGCGAGTGCGGCAGGAGTTTGCTTCCTTTTCTTGCCCAGTAGTAGCACATGTGTGGATGGAGCACAGGGTGTTTAACCATGCACCTCTTGAAGCCATCTGTGTTATTTACAGTTTTTGGCCATTACAAATAAAGCTGCAGGCATTCGTGGACAAGTTTTTGTTGGAATATAGTCTGCATTTTTCTAAAGTAACCAGGGGTGTAATTGATGGGTCATAGGGGAATTGCATGTTTAGTTTTTTAGGAAACTGCCAGAATGTTTTTCAAAGTGGCTCTACCATTTGACCTTCCCACCAGCAATGTCTACGAATACAGGTTTTTTGGGTTTTTGTTTTTGTTTTTTTGCATTTCCCTAGATTCCTTTTCTTTCATTTTATTTCTTGCTTTTGTCTCTCCCCCTCTCACCACTACCATAGTGCCTACCACATACAGGGTTTTATTTTGTTGACTAATAGTATTTCCTTGCTTATCTTGCTATGAAGTTAACATTTTGCTTCTTCAAAAAATTGTTTTTACAGCTACAAAAATGCAACAGAGTTTGATTTTGATAAGGATAAATACGACATCAGGATTCCGGAAGATTTAGATGAGACAACAGGGAAGAAAGGGTATAAGAAGCAAGAGCGGATGGACCAGATTGCCCCAGAAAGCGACTATTCCCTAAGGGTGTGTATCCAGCGCTCCTGTAGAAATGAGAAAAGCATCAAATAATGGAAGTTATGTCATCCACTTGTGTTATAAATGCTGCCATTGATTGCTAAATGAAAGTATCTCAGACATAAACCAACATACTAAACTTCTCATGAGCACACTGGTGGTCTTATTTGCTTAAAAACAGTTTTTTAATTGCGAAGCCATCGGGTCTAACAGTGTTGACTTTACATTGTTAGTCGTTCTTGCACTATGTTGTTGCATTATTTAAAGTGGGAGTAATAGAATAGGTGTACCCTATGCTGGCCATACTGATTGTCATTCAAAAGTGCCAGATTCAGAGTGTTCTAAAGTACACACCTTGACATCCTAAAGCAACAGATTATGTAGAGACTAGAGATAATGTACATTAATATAATTTTGTGATAAATATCTCTGAAATTTGACTTTAGAAATGGTTATATTTTTGAGATTGAGGGAGTATGTCAACATAACAATGTTGATATAATAAGAAATTAAGTTTCTTAGTTACTATAAGATATATCATACTAAGTCTTCCCTTTATTTTTGTGCTGCATTGATTCTAATACCCCAAGGTGAGGATACATTTGACATTTACAAGTTTGCCATATATCTTTTTGTTAGCAATTAAAATGGCAGATATTACTGTTATTTGATATACTACAATGTGTTATTGAAGTATCTCCTAATTGTTACGAAAATCTTGCTCAAGTATGAATGGGTCTAGAGGCAGCCAGAGTAGATGGTATGGTTTTAGTGTATCATGAAGTACAATATTTTAAAATATCACTAATGAATTTTATAAATGACAAAACACCACTAATTTTGAAGTCAGGAGATGGGGGGAAAAGTAAGCCCTGGCTGGTGTGGCTCAGTTGGAGCATCATTCCATGCACCAGAAGGTCGTGGGTTTCACCAGAGGGTTGTGGGTTTGATTCCCAATCAGGGCACATTCCTAGGTTGCAGGTTCGAGCTCCAGTTGGAGCTCATATGGGAGGCAACTGATCTATTTATCTTTCTCACATCAGTGTTTCTCTCCCCCTTCCTTTCTCCCTCCCTCTATGAAGTTCAATTAAAACAGTAAGAGAAAAGTTCAAATTTCTTTTTGAAATGTTTTTATTGATTTCAGAGAGAGGAATGGAGAGGGAGAGAGATAGAAACATCAGTGATGAGTCATTGATCGGCTGCCTCCTGCATGCCCCCTGCTGGGGATCAAGACCACAACCCAGACATGTGCCCTGACTGGGAATCAAACCTTGGTCTCCTGGATCATAGGTTGATGCTCAGTTGCTGGGCCACAGTGACCCGGCAGAAGTTCAAATTTTGGTTTTTCGTTGAACCTTCTGTCTCTCCTCGAGTTACTCAATTCATTTCCTTTGGAGGTTTCTGATACCTTGGAGGTAGGCACAGACGAGCATATTTCAAATGTTTCAGGATGCAAAGTTTGTCAGTATTTTTTTTCTTTAATCCTCAACTGAGGATATTTTTTTATTGCTTTTTCAGAGCGAGTGGGGGAGGGCAGGGAGAGAAACATGGATGTGAGAGGGACACATAGAATAGTTGCCTCCCGAATGCACCCAGACTAGGGGTGGGGAGCGAACCTGCAACACAGGTAATGCCCTTGACTGGAAATCGAACCCCTACCCTTCAGTGCGTGGGCCAATGCCCTAACCACTGAGCAACACACCAGCTGGAGCAAGATTCTAAAGTATCTAAGCTGTCTGGCCAGTGTGACTCAATGGTTGAGCGTTGACCCATGCACCAGGAGGTCGCTGGTTCGATTCTAGGTCGGGGCACATACCCGGGATGCTGTTTTATAACTTTTTCACTTAACATATCAACACAGGTCAATAGATTGTTTTCTGCAAATATTTTTACTGGCTGTAGTATACTTTATTTTTAGTGAAAAGTATGTATAGTATATATTATTTTATTGAAGAGTTAATGGATCCTTTATGAAAGTAAGGTGGTAGCTTCTTTTTAAATACATGTGTAAGTAGTGTTGAATAAATCTGTAGATAATTATTTCAAAGAAACATACTGTTTTGTGTCTTTTCAGGCTTACTGCAGTATTTTATATCTAAAACCAAGAATGCAGATCATCTTACGTGGACAGAAAGTGAAGACACAGCTAGTTTCAAAGAGTCTTGCTTACATTGAACATGATGTTTATCGACCAAAATTTTTAGTATCCTTTGTTTTCCTTTTTATGATGCCGCATAGAGCTACATTAGTTGTGTATTTCCCTACTGCCTTTTCTCCTTTGCTCCTGATACTCATTCTAATTCTCTGTAACTGTGCCTGTGTTTTGCACTTTGGGGCTGAATAGTTAATGAAATAGTAGAAAGCATAATCTGAAGGGAATGAGGTGGTATGTTCAGAATTTTCCTTAACTTTTAAGACGAAAACAGTAAAAATTACTTTTGGATTCAACTGCAGAAATAAAGATCATTATGGGATAATGATGTATCATAAAAATAGACTCATCAAAGCTTATGAAAAAGTTGGATATCAGTTAAAGGTAAGTGGAAAATGTCTATATATCTTTTATAAGTTAGGATAACTAATTATTGGGTCAGATGTGAAGTAATAGCTCTTTGCCTAATGACTTTTAAATGTCAGTGTTTTTAATAACTGGTATGGCTCTTGAACTTAGAATACTTTAATATTAATTTATTTGGTCCTGAGTAATCTTATGAGGGGACAGAATATTTTATCTCTCTTTTACAGATGAGGAAAGTGGGGCTAAGTAACTTGCCCCAGACCTAATGATGCAGATCTCTTGATGTATTTGGATCTGGATCCCTGCTTATTTCCTGCTGGAATGAAATTTGTTGCTTTTAACTAGTGCTGACTCAATAGCCTGAAAAAACAGTACCTGGTAGGTGATTTACTATTTTGGACTTAGTTCCTAAATATATTAGAGCCTTCCTCCTAAGCCGTAACCATTGTAGAGTTCAATTTAGGATGTTGGGCATTGTCCCATACCAATCTGTCTGTCCTTTACATGTTTTCGCAGAAAGGTATGGGGTTTTTGGTTTTTGTTTTTGTGTGTGTGTGTGTCTTTGTGTGTTAATTCAGTGACAAATTTCTGAAAATTACCCTTTTTTCTGTTTTACAAGAACCCAAGCCTTGGAGAAAATTACCTTTTTAAAGGTTTTAAGTCAAGGCATATTTCTCCAATTTTATGACTTTTCAGTTAATCTTATTCTGAATTCTTTGTATAGAATGATGTGAGCACTAAACAGTATGGTAGTGGGTTTATCTTGAATGTTATTCAACAGGTTGTAACTCTGTACTAAGTATTTTATATGGCATGAGCTCAGAATAGAGCATTTTTGCAAAAGTAAATGAATATTGTTGGGCTCTTTGTAACCACTCATTTTATCTTTCGCCACTTAGGAACCTGACTTAAGTAAGAGACAGCCCTTTTTTCCACTCAGTTAAATTTGTATATGTATAATTTCTGATTAAGCTTGACCTTGTAAAAAATAGGCTTTTACAACCAACTTTTTAATGTTGGTTTACAACCAATTTTTTTAATGTTTTTCTTTACCAGATGATGGACTGGACCTAGTGTTTGCGTTCTGTGGATTCAGTAAACATTATTAAGTAGGTGTCAGATAGCAGTATGATGTCCCACGCTAGATGCTCGGCATAAAAAGATAAGATGCGCAGAGCATGTCCTCAAAGCCCAGTGTGCTGAAGGAATAAGGCCTGTCCTCAGAGCATCGGAGATGTCTTCTTGGAGAAAGTGGTGGTTGAGATGAGCCTCAGTTGACTGTACTGTGTTGGAAAGTCTGGCAAGGGCTTTCCACTCAGGGAAACAAGTATCTGCAAAGGCAGGAAAAGAAGCTTCTGAGACGACATTATTAAGGGAGTAATTTGTTATGACTGGGTCAGATGACAAGTGGGAAATAGAGTAATGGGAGAGACAGGAAGATGAGGCTGGAACGAAGATGACATGAACTACAGATTGAAGGGTACTGTGGTTTACAAGTGCTGTGAGATGCGGAACCACTGATGGTTCTTCATAGAGCAAGAGTACAATTAGATTTGTATGGCTTCATCTACACGGTGGAGCAAAAGTAGGCTTACAGTTATTCCTATGGAAAATAATACAATAATTCATAAATAATAATACAAGAATAAACTATTTCCCACCTCTTATAGTTATATTTATGGAAATTTTCATTTTGTAAATTAAATTTTTTTTACTTTGTATGTAGACTCAGAAGTATAAACTACAGTCATAAACAAAATATACTTGATAATCACACAAAGATAATCAGAATATGACTCGTGTTTTGAGTTCAGTATTTTAGCTTGCAAAATTTAAAAAATAACTTAATTTTTACTGACGTGGGTGTTTATTTCATTGCAGTTAACATCTGGATGTGTAACTTTGGATAAACAACTTTAATGTTTATTTAAAGTGTTAATTTTAAATAAACTTATGAAATATTATGTGCCAGAGCCTTTGCTAGGCACTGTGGATATAGAAATGAGTTAGTTGTGGTTTCTACTAAGAAGTTGCATCCCAGTGGAGGTGGTCTTTTTTCCCTTGTATAAAATTGGGGATTATAATAGCCTAAATGGCTACTTGACAACAATGGACGTGGTTTTGGAGGAAGGCTCTAATATGTTTAGGAAATAACTCCTGGAAAATGAATTACCTACCAAATGCTGTTTTTCACTCTAAATTTCATGAGATAAAATACAGGAAAATGTTTGCTACAAATTATAAATTTTTTTGGAAGGGTAATTATGTTGAGCATCATGTCTTATGCTTAGAACGCCAATTTCATTTTCTTTTTCAGGCAAACAACATGGGTGTTGGAGTAGTGGGAATTATAGAGTGCAATTTCCTAAAGCCAACTCATAATAAACAAGATTTCGACTATACTAATGAGTACAGGTGTGTTACCTATTTAAATGTTTGACTTTCTACAGTTTTTTGGAAATACTTCCATAACTTTTTCTATCTTGTGGATGTTTTTACATTGTTGAACATTAAGAAAGTGGGTAGGTGAAAAGCTTGCACAGAAGACACATTTAACTGTTGTCTTCCATCCTAGGAATTATATCCTACAAGTAGAAGTATATTCTCCCATCTTTACTGATGAAGTATTTCTGAGTCATAAAAAATAGAGGAAGTTCCTGCTTTCTTGGTATTAACATTTTTTGTGTAATCATAAAATCCTGAAACTTTGTGCTTAGATGGGTACTTTAAGGTAATTTAGTCCTATGTACCTTAGAAAGACTCATACATTTTAAGAGTGGTTAGAAGCCATAGGATAAAGGTGTCCAGTAATGTTACTTGAAAATTTAGGAAGCATAGACAGTCCTAATGAACATATGTTACGGAGTAGAATGCAAACGTCATGTAAATATTTGTGGTAAAGACAAATGCCATTGGCTCTCTCCTCAAATAAAGAAAAAATAAAACAGAAAATGGAAGGAAGGAAATAGTAAAGATAACAGCAAAATCAGTGAATTAAGAACCATATACAATAAAGAAAATAAATATATCATTCAGAGTTCAGTCCTGAGACAGTTACTCCTGTTATTTGAACAGGGATAATTTAATACAAGGAATTGTTAACTATGTCAGCGTAAGAAACATTCAAATCTGTAGAGAATTTTTATGAGTTTATTTGAGCCAAACTGATGACAGTTAACGGAAAGCAAAATCTCAAGGGATTGAGAAAATGCTCCAGACAATGGTAGTTTTGCACCTTATTTTATACATTACAATCTGAGGATGTGGGAGAAAGCAAAGTTGGGGTGGGGGTGGAGAAACTCTGGGATTGGATAAACAGTAATTGGATAAAACGAATAGATACACTTCTTTTACCTTTGTGGGTATAAGATAGTTAACAGTCAACAATTANAACGAATAGATACACTTCCTTTACCTTTGTGGGTATAAGATAGTTAACAGTCAACAATTAGCATAATTGCCATGAGGGGTTTTGTGGTCTCTGCTCTGGTGCAGTGATGGTGCCCAGAGAGGTCTGGAAAAAAGGAAATTACCTTGACATCCCAAAAATATACTTTCCTAGATACAAAAGACAGTAGACAGGCTCAGTTAAGGGTAAAGATTGACCTTTGTCAAGGAGGATACTGGCCTAAGACTTGACTACCTGCCATGACTCATTCTTTTAGTTAGGAAGTTTGAGTTTCAGACCATCCTGAAACTCAGTGGTTACTTTCCGTCTCAGATTTTGTAAGGCCACCGTGCAGGCCTCCCCTGAGATTGTCAGGCCTAGTATGTGGCCCCTTCTCTTCGTGCACATCTAGAATAGTGGAAGGTGATTCCTAAGAGGGGTAGAAGGATGGTAGGTATCCAGAATTAGCAGATATAAAAGAGGAGCTGTTACCTCTAGGTTGAAAAAGAGTCAACAGTAAAGGAACTAGGAGAAGCCTCCCCTGCCCCCTACTCCTGAAGTCAGAGATTCAGATCTTCGTAAAGGTCACGATGAACATAGAAGCAAGCTGCCTGCCTGACCAGTGCTGGCCTGTACCAGGGCCTACTGTTGCCAGAGGCTGTGTGGGTGGGCTGGAGGTGGTCTGTAAAGGTCTGGCTTTGCTAGAACCTGGGCATGTTAGAACTGGTCTGTGTTGCCAGAGTGCGGAGCCAGGTCTGAGAGCACAGCTGGAGCTCCTCTGGGAGGCTAATGGGCTCCAGCCAGATAATGACTATGTAGTACCAGAAGCTGAAAGACAATGTCTTGTGCCACCACCTGGTGGGTTCATTGCCTGCTAACCCAGTTTAATATTGCTCAGGCTGGCAAAGGATAAATGTTTACAGGATCAAATTCTAGTATCACAAAACTGAGCAAGGAAGACTGGATTTGGAGTTGAGGGACAATAAATTGTGACACAATCAAAACGCTCAGTTCTTTGATAAGATTAATGGTCTGTATCTGACGAGACTAAGGAAATAAAGGGGGAAATGGCAATTGTCAGTAGCAGAAATGAAAGGGAGGACATTACTGTAGGTTTACAGACACAAAAAACTTTACCAGAGGGATAGTATGAATAATTTTTCATCATTTTTGATGATGTGAACATATTCCTTTGAAATTAAATCAATTTTTAGAAAACTTACTACATATTTAGAATACTTTACTAGAAAGGAAATTGATGTCAGTCTCTTCTGATCAAGATATAAATATCTTAATTAAAATAATAACAAACATCATCCAGTGACATGTAAAAAGGGTAATACATTAAAACCAAGTGCATTGTTATTGCAAGAGGGCATGGGTGGTTTTTAACATTCAAAATTCAATGTTATTCATCACACTGATGTTAAAAAAGAAAATTCCCATGGTTATTTTCATAGGTACAGAGAAAGCACTTGATAAAACAACATTCATTTGTGATTTAGAAAAAAGGGGAACCTTTACAAAACCATTAATAGAAAGGGCATAATAACAACAGTTATTTATAAGTAACAATACAGAGTATTTACAAAAAGCTGCAAACATCATTTCTAAAGGGGAATAATTGATAGCTTCACCCCAAAGGGGGAGAATGAGATAAAGAGGTCAGCTATTTACCATTGTTCTTGAGGAAATAANCCCCCCAAGAGTGAGAATGAGATAAAGAGGTCAGCTATTTACCATTGTTCTTGAGGAAATAACCAATATTATGAAGCAAGAAAAATGAAAGTTATAAGGATTGGAAAGGAAGAAATAAAACTTTTCTATAGATGATAATATATAGAAAGTCCAAAATTATCCACAAACTGGAATTAATAAAGGAACAAGTAATATGTATTCTAAGGTTGCTGGATAAAAAATATTCAGAAATTAATTGTATTTCCGTATACCAGCAACAACAGAAAAACATGAAGTTTAAAATCATTAATAAAAGCATTAAAAAAACACACAAACAAGCACTTTTGGATTAAATGAAATATGCATAGACCTCAACGCACTGAAAACTACAAAACATTGTGGAGTGAAGTTTAAGACCTAAATAAATAGGTATGCCAGGTTCAAAAATTGGAAAACTGGGTATTATAAAATGTCAGTTTTTCTCCAAAATAATTAAATGCGATTTCAGTTAAAAAAAAACAAAACAAAAAACCCAGGTGTGTGTGGATGTTAGTATATCAATAGGTTTATTTCTAAACTTTACATGGACAGTCAGAAGACTGAAGATAGTTAGGACGATCATTAAAGAACAGCAAAGCAAGAGGACTTGTACTATTAGATAACAGTATTATAAAGCTGTAGTAACTAGGAAAGTGGGTATTAATGAAAGGATAGACAAGATAGTCTAGTGAAATAGAGAAGTCCAAAAACATCCCCCCACTTTCATACATATGGTCACCTGATTTATGACAAAGGTTACATTAGAGTGAACTTTAACTCCTTCCTCTCAAATGAAGCAAGAGGCCAGTTCTAGATGGATCATAGATCTAAATGAGAAGAGCAAAACCAAAGTGGAAACAAGCATACTTTCATAATCTTTAATTAGCCAACTTTTTAAAGCAAGACACAAGAAGTTTCAGTCATAATGGGCAAAATGGAAAATTTATCTACAGTGAATAAAACATCGCACATGTTGGCAAGATGTAGGCAGTTGGAGCTCTCATCACATGTTGCTGGTGGATGTAAAACTTGATCACTTTTGAAAACTGTTAGGCTCTGCCAAGTAAAATGCCCACCCCATGACTCTGCAGTTCCACTCCTAGGTATATTCTCAACAGAAATGGGTGCAGTCTTATGGACTGAGGAATAGAGGTGATGAGAAAAAGAGATGAGGAAGAATTGTGGCTTTAATCTTATTTCAGTAGGTCCCATTGATTTGCTTTTTAACATCTTATTGTGGGACTTGGGGTGGTCAACACACAATACAATATACTGGTGATATATTATAGAATAGTACACCTAAAACCTGTGTAATTTTATTAACCAATGTCACCCCAATAAATTCAACTTAAAAAAACATCTTATTGTGGGAGAAAGTCTTAATTTTGAAACAGAAGCTATTTGAAATATACTTGCTGGTAATGATCACATACTTTCATAAACCAAAAGTTTGAGTTTGTTAAAATTTAAATTGAAGTTTGTGAGGTTGGGGTTGAAATTCAGAGCCAATTACTGGTTCTCCCAGTAATTGGTTGACAGCATACTTTCACAACAGGGGACCCAAAGTATTATTTTCTGTCTTATTTCCTAGAGGATCCTAGCTCTGTGCTTTGCTCTAGGGACTTCTAAAGGTCCTTCTAGAAAATTGCCGTTACTTTGAGTGTTTTTTGTTAACTGTACTTTTTGGAGTCCTTCCCCCTGCTCCCTGACCCCCAGTGTCCACATGGTCATTACTAGGTTGTGCTTCTCTATGTTTGACTAAGAGTTAATCTTTATTCTTTTTTCTTAAATTGATTTTATAATTTCCTTTTTTGAGGCTTACACTACTAGCACTGGGAGATAAACTGAATGATTACTGGAATGAAATGAAAGTGAAGAAAAATGCAGAATATCCTCTAAATTTGCCAGTTGAAGATAGACAGTAAGTGTACCTTAAAAAATCAACCCACTGTAAAATCAAGATGTGATGTTGGAGGGTACAATGATTGTACAGTGTTCATAGTTGACTCTAACCCATAGTAAGAAATAAATTCTGCACCTCAAATCAGCATACCATAAAATGAATTGATGAATAGGCCCTGGCCAGGTAGCTCAGTTAGAGCATCATCCCAATATGCCAACGTTGGGGGTTTCATCCCTCATCAGGGTGCATACAAGGACCAACCAATGAATGCATAAATAAATGGAACAACAAATTGATGTCTCCCACC